GAGCCCCTGCAGTGGGGGCCGCCGGCTGGGCCCCTACCAGTGCCTGTGGTCCATGTGCTGCCGGATGAGTGTGTGCGGTGCCACGGTGCCGTACTTGTCCACCTCCGGCATGTTCATGTCATCGATGAAGTAGATAAGCTTCCTGGTCCCGGGCGGGCCGTAGTTCCTCCCCGATTTCTTCTCCAGGGGCTTCTCAAGGACAGCTGCAGCGAGAGGAGCGGGTGGGCGGTGGGGCAGTGCGAGGGGGCCGTGCGGCACAGCCCGACATGGAGCCGGCTGCCGGCTCAGGCCAGCCTTACCCTGCAGCATGGCCGAGGTGGTGTAGAAGTTAAAGGGCACAGACTGCACAAGGTATTCATCTGCGCTGAGCGCTTCGAGCTTGTCCCACATCAGGACCGATTTTCCCGTCCCCGCATTCCCCACCAGCATCACCGGCCTCTGCTTCTCCATCAGCAGGTCCATGAAGTAGCGCACGCGAATGGTCTCCGTCGTGTGCACCATGGAGGCCTGGGGAAATCGCGCCGTCAATCGCCGGAGCTCGCCTCCTGCTACTGGAGTCGACGTTTGCAGGCAGAGGTGGGATCTTCTGTTAGAGCAGCGGGCAGCGTGCTGGAAGCCTTGCCTGGTTTTCCCAGCAACGCCAGCTGGTCTAACAGAAGATGCTCTCTCTCCGTACAAACGTGGTCCCTCTTTAAAGCAAAAGGTCTCAGGCGCTTGGTTATCCTAAAGACTTTATGACCAAAAATAGGAGCTGTCAGATAAACGAGAACAACACAGCGCAACTCCTGAAACTGTCCCCAGTGTCTTTGCTCAGCCAATGCACGGGCCAAATTCAGCCGCGGCACCTCTCCCTTTCCCTGACATCTTTAACACAACCCCCCCTTCCTCAGGCCAGCATTTCAAAAGACATGCAAATAAAGTTTTAAAGTACATTTTTGCATTCAGGCAATAGTTATAATTATTTCAAAAGAATCTACGAAGCCACAGGTTAATCTGAAATTAAAAAAGAAGAGTTCCAACCTGCTGAGGTTGCTGCGGAGTAAAGCAGAACCACAGAAAGCCACGGGGATTGCCGGGTGCCACCAGCCCGTGTGGCGGCGTGGCAGAGCCAGCCCAAATCCCTGCACCGCTCCAGGCGCAGGGTCTTGCCCCAGCCTTGCTCAGGGGAAGGCCACGGAGTAATAAACAAATAAAACACATAAACACAGAGAGCTTGTGGGAAGTACCTGTAAAGGGACTTCGGGATCGAGTTCGAATTTTGGCACTTTTTCAGTCCAGAGCATGAATTTCTTTGTTTCCGGATCAATGTAATAGTCAAAAATTGTCCCCTGCGAAGGAAACTTGATGGTTTTAAACTCGTTCACCCACCACTTGCTGAACTCCAGGCGGTAATCCACGAGCTGGGAGGAACCAAACAGAGACAAACTCAGAAACTGGCCAACGTTGTCGCTTTAGTATTTTCCGAAGGGATGCAGCCGAGGGATGAAGCTGGGCAGCAGGCTCTGGCGAGCAGGCAGGCGCGGGCAGGCGCCGAGCGCTTGGTCCCACAGCCATACCTGGTCCTGGAACATGGCCCCGCCGAAGGCCCAGGCACAGGCGAAGACAAAGTAGAGCTCGTAGAGCTCCCGGGGCGAGTCCGGCGGGGTGGTCTGCGGCGTCAGGAAGCACTCCAGCAGGTACAGCACCATCTGTATCACCGTGATCTCAGGGACAGGGATGATCTTCTTGAATCCAGACTTGAGCTTCTCTAGGCACACCGGCAGGTACTTGTCAAAGAGGATCATCAAATTGGCCTTCTCGGACTGCACCGTCCTTGTCTCGATCCAGCTGGTCACAACGCTGTGGGAGGGACGGGCAGGGCTGCAGGTGAGTGTGCAGGGGGCCAGTGCCCGTCCCATCCCATCCCATCCCATCCCGTCCCGTCCCATCCCATCCCGTCCCGTCCCATCCCGTCCCGTCCCATCCCGTCCATCTCCATTCCCTGGCTCACAGGTTCCAGCCCAGGTCTGTGGGGTTGATGTAGAGGATTCCCGCCCGGGACACGGTGGCCGGCGTGGCGGTCCGCAGGTGGCTAATCTCAAAGAGGAGCCGCATGGTGGGGTTGAGGGGGATGCGCTCGTTGCTGGCCAAGGTGAGAACCTGGGGGAAGCGGCCCGTCATGGAGGGATGCCCTGATCTTGGGGCCCAGGCATGAACACAAGCTCATGACCCCGAGTTAATGAGCGAGCAAAGCTCCTGGCGTGTGATGGCACCGACCTTATTATCATCCATGACCGTGTTCAGGGACTCGATCCACATGGGGTCAATATCTCCATCGAGGATGATCCACTTGGGCCCTTTATGTGTGATGTTGGCCAGGTCACGCATCGCTGAAGAAAACAGACCTGCCCCATAGAGAGACACGTGGGTTTGTCCTTTCCACGCATGGCACTTTTGCTGGGGGGACACGCGGGACTGGGTGCTTCCCTGAAACACGTTCCTCCTCCCTCACAGTCCAGTAAAAAGCCCCAAGGAAAGGTTTTCCCATTCCATCACCACGTCACAAAGTGTTTACAGAGACACATTTTATGAAGGTATTTGCCTATGCATCAGCCGCTGCTGAAGGATGGTTTGGGCCAGTTCCCACCCAGGGTAAGCAACCGCTCACAAGCGTTGGTGTCTCACCGTCCTTCCACTCTCGCGTGGACGGATGAATAACCCCGAACAGCTCATTGCAGGTCACAGCCTTTGGGTCGAGGTCCATGGTGACCGGCTTCCGCTTCATGCTTTTGTATGTCTTGTTGAGCGACCTCAGCACCTGCAGAGAGGGGGAACCGTGCAGCCGCGGCTGCTGCTCCTGTGAGGGTGTTTGCAGCCTTTGGCAGCCTTTGCCCGCAGCCGGGGGCACAGAGCCTTGCTCCCACCCACTGCAGAGCACCCAGGCCCGGACAGCTGCTGGGAAGGCTCCAGATCTCCCTCTGCGTAGCCGGCTCCTGGCGGGGGTGTTGTGGGAGCCCAGAGCCCAGCCAGCCAGCACCGTCCTGCCTGCAGCGCAGCACGCAGGGCGTCGTGAGAGTGTGCCCCTGCCTGCTCCCTGCCTCATCTCTGCTCTGCTCATGGGTGTCCTGGGCAGCCCCTGAGCTGTGCGTCCCCAACCCTCTCAGCTCCATGGGCTGAACCCAGCACACATGGTGCTGGGGGGCCTGGCGTGGCTGTGGACGCTGGCCATGCTGCCATCCCCTACCCAGACGCTGCTTGCTGGTGCAGCGGGGGGTCCACGTGGCCGGCCGAGGCCAGCAGCAACATCCTCACCAAGAGGACAGGGGAGGCCATGGGATGTGCTTGGCCGGGGGCAGGAGGGGACCTGTGTCCTTGGGGATGGTTTGGCCGCTACCTGGGACTTGCCGCAGCCAGCGTTGCCAACGACAAAGACGGAGTGTCTCACTTGCAGCAGCTCCTCCAGCTGCACCACCTTCAGCACGAAGCTCTCCTCTGCCTGCAGCTTCAGCTCCAGCATGGACTGCCTAATGACCTGGGAGGGAGAGCAGGCGCTGACCATGGGCAGCTGTCACGGCCTCCGCAAGACCCCAGAGACAAGCCGGCCGCTCCCAGAAGTGCCGAATGGACCTTCAGCCTCTGGACCCTGCCAGGGCTGGGATGTCTCTGGCGCTGGAGCCGCGCCTGGGCTTGCACCTTCTCAAAGTTGAGATCCCTCTTCCTGGGGACGTCCAGGGCTGGGAACAAGTCTCCAATCAGCCCCATGAAGACGGGCAAGTCGTCTGTCACGATCTTGGGGATGTTGAAGTCTCGTAAAGCTCTCATCAGAACTTGGTCCTCGGCACGGCCAGGGTCCCCTCTCTTCAAGGAGCCAGCTACCACCAGCACAGACTTGATAGCCCGCAGACCCCAGTCATAGTGGTCCTGCCGACAGGCACCAAAGTATTAAAATTCCACTTTGGTGAGGGAGAAGTGCTTTAAACAACATTACAGAGGAACACCCTGCCCATTGCCCCGCACCCAGGTTATCCACACAGTGCCCAGCAGACTGGACTTAAAATGAGCTTATTTACAAGACAAGCCCCAGTCAGTCCCGAGGTGAACGGCAGTCTGGCTTGCTTCCTGGAAGCACGTTTTTATTGCAAATCACTTCTGCTGAGATGAATAATGTCTGGATGCTCTCATCTTAACTGGCTGTATCCTATTCTATTCTATTCTATTCTATTTTGGGACTTCTTGATTTCTTCCAGAAGCCAGAAATATGCCATGTGATGCACCAGCGTGGAAGTGGAATTTGTCCAGCCATAGACCTGAACTGTGCAGAACATCAGCCAGCACATTACTACCAGCAATCCTACTACAGTCTGTCAGGTTTGAAATTCAAGTGAACTCTTTCATCTTAAAGAACCTTGCAATATTGTTAAATTACCTGTTTAGATAGTAACTCTTTGCAGAGTGTGTACAAAGTAATGAATTTTCTTGCTAGAAGCTTAGCGTCAATAAAACCTTCTGCAACAAGCATGATTTCACAGATCAGTTCAAAATCGGGGACCACCATGGCGCAGGGTCTGGAGAAGAGCAGCGGCAGGTTAGCAGGGCTGTGCATGGACGTCCACACGCCCCTTGCCCTCCCACAGCCAGTAAGAATTTGCACCCGAGTTTCCAATATAAATCGTTCCCTGCTGCTGTTAGTATCAGAGAATCAGGCAGTAATCTAGGCCGGCTGGGGTGTCTGGAGGTCTCTTGTCCAGCCTCCTGCTCCAAGCAGGGCTCAGGTCACCCTGGGCCTTCTCCAGTCACAGTCTGAGTTCCTCCAAGGACAGAGATCCCACAGCATCCCTGGGCCACCCCTTCCAGTGCTTGACCATCTTTTTTTCTTGTTCTCAGTTGGATTTTTAGCTGAAGGTGGCAATTAGACACCCCGAGCATCCTCTTCTCCAGGCTGAGCAGCTCAGCTCTCCCAGCCCCTGACCATCTCAGGGCCTTTGAGCAGGGCTGTCCTGGGGTGCCAAGGTCTCCCTGACTCAAGGACTGCCAGTACACACAAATATCCTTATTTGCACTAACAAAGGCTTAGTTCACGTTATGGATGTAGCAGGTGAGTATTACCACAGAGGTAAATGCTGTAATGACGGCCAGTTCCATACTGACCCATCTGCCTACGAGTACCTGAACAGAGCTTTTAAATTTTCAGGCAGTTCTGTCCGTCCTGCGTAGCCAGGGTTCATGGTAATGAACAGCCCGACCGACGGGATCAAAGCGATGGTCTCTCCAAGGAAATTGAATGTTTTCTTCTTGGCGCGAATTGCATCTTGAACACATTTCACCTGGCAGGCGAGCGGAGGCGTCAGTGCCAGCAGCCCCGCGGCTCCCTGCCCTGTGCCCCCGGCTCACCCTCACTGACGGCCTGCAGAAAACAAGCCTGGAGGTTCAGTCGTGCCATCGGTAATGCTAGAAATAATATCGACAGTTTGCCGAAGGCACGGCAGTGTAGCAATCCCCGGCTCAGGAGAGCTGGCCTTAAATCAGCTTCTTCCCAGGCACCGCGATGCCCTGTCCCCAGGCAATGGCAGAGCCAGCGGGGGGGTGACGGGTCACTGGGATGGGACACAGCTGGGCTGCGTGACCTTAAACATGCCCAAAGCCTCCGTACTGCTGCGCTTCCCCTCCATTTGCCTCCCAACATGATGACACAGTGGAAACAATAGCAGCAAACTGTCCCTTTGAAAGTCAGGTTTAACTGAGACAACATTCAGTATGTGAACTGGAAACAATGAGCGGCTCATCCAGTCCCTACGGCACCCCACACTGCCGCTGGTTTTGTACGTACCTGCACAGCAATCACGGACAAAACCTCCACTGAAATGCGATTGAATTCATCAAAACAGCCCCAGGCGCCGGTCTGAGCAAGCCCCTTGTAGATATTGCCGCAGGACTGGAGAGAAAGCACCAGAGATTAGCTTCAGACACTGAGCTTTTACATGGAGGCTGCAACGTGAGGATTTGTTAAGAAAGCTCAAGTGTGGGGAGTTGCTCATGCTTTTATGGTTTGTGCTGTTCCCTAGGGAAATGCCCCGCAGCGTTACAGCCCCCCTGGGCTCCCACGGGCTTCCAGGGACACGAGCTGGCCGGAGCCGTGGTGAGAGTGAGCGGCGTGGGATGGAACCAGGAGCTGCTGCTGGACCCACAGGTTTCTCGCTGGCTTCCGAGCCAGGGAGAGGAGAGCAGCTTCAGGGCATTGGCTATGGATGCTGCAGCTGGACGCGGGCGGCGCACGCAGCAGTGGTGCCTCCCGGAAGAGGTCCCCCCTTGTCTTGGCAGACAACCCACGGCTCTCACCTCGGTGCTGCCGCCCCGCTCCTCCATGCCCTACCTTGTAGTCCATTTGCTCGGAGCAGTTGAAGACGTAGACCATCATGCCCACTGCCCGGCCCAGGTCCTTGGTGGTCTCCGTCTTCCCTGTGCCCGCGGGGCCGGCGGGGGCCCCCCCCATGAAGAGGTGGAGCGACTGCGTCAGGGTGATGTAGCACCTGTGAAGGGGAGGACAGGCAGGGCTGAGCAGTGCCGGCAGCGCGGCACGGGCAGCGGGAGGCGCGGGGAGCCGAGCCCCTACCGATCCGTCAGGGGGGTGATGACCAGCCGGGGGGTGTTCCCCAGGTACTCGTAGGAGTACTGGAGCTGAGCGTCGCAGATGTTGGCGTAGCAGTGCCTCCTCCCCTCATCCCACCGGTGCCGGAGCTGGGACTGCCAGGTGAACTCCTGGGCACTCTCCACCTGCGGAGCAGCCGGCTGCGGAGGGCACCGGAGCTGTCTGCTCTGACCCATGGGCACAGCGAGCTCCCAAACATGCGTTGGGACCGTTTCTCACCTCCGTACACGAGGAGAGCATGCAAACAGGTCCCAGTGCAATGCTGGGGTGGGTGCCACATGGCCCAGCCCACCCCATGCCTGCCGACCACAGTGCAGAGCCCCGCTCCGAGGCTCGCAGCTCCCACCGAGCATGGCAGGAACCAGCAAAACTGCTCCTGGATCTGGCTTTAAATCAGACCCAGCCTGGTCTCGTCTGACCCCAGCTGTGGTGTCACCTCCCCAGCTCCCGTGCACCCCTAACACCCCACGTGTGGTTTCCTCATGCAATTGGGATACTTTGAAAATATTGGAAAGTAATAAAATAACAGGAAATCTTTGCTCAGAAGTGCTAAGAAACAAAGCAGCAAAAATATCCTCTTGTAACAAATACCTTCGCAAGGATCATTTTGGCCACAACATCCCTGGCGTGGACATCAATGGTACAGATTGTCATGATCTTCATCCTGTCTCCTGCAGTTAGGTTTCCAATGAGTAGTGAAATCAGTGCATTTAGCTGAGTAATCTGAGGAAGGAAAGAAATGATGAACAGAAAAATGACATCATACTTTGCCCATCTCCCGGTGACCCCCAGACCGGACCTCGCCTCTTCCGAGCAGAGAGGGGCTGCAGGACAGCTCCAGGTCAGGTCTGAGGGATGCCAACCTGCTTTTTGTTGTAATCCCTCATTGCGTTCTCATAGCCTTCCTCCAGCCTTGAAAAGGCAATGCCAACTTCTGTGGTCCACCAGATCTGGGTGCACGTCAGAGCAACCTGCAGCAAACCACAGGGACGAAATGTGGTCATAAAGGGAAATACGCCGTCCCCGCGATGGCTCAGGGCAGGCGCCTGCACCCCCCTGGGCTCTCTGCTTGCTCCTCCTCTCGGACCTCGGCTCACGGAGCCGCCGGCCAACCTGGCCCCGTGTGGCAGCTCCCACCTGTGCCGGGTAGTCGAACACCCACTGCTCCCGCGGCTTCTCCTCATAGGTCACCACGGCCTCGGGGATCAGGCGTCGCAGGGTGGAGCGCATGCTCACCAGCACTCGGTTCAGCCAAACCTCAACCTAGAGGGTCACATCCAGCAGACCCTGAGCGAGCGGTTCCTAGCCCGTGGCCGGTCGGGCTGGGTGCCCCCGTGGCAGCGTGCAAGCGGCTCCCTGCTGCTCTGCGCAGCAAGCTTCTCCCTGCACGTCGTAACAAGGTGCATGAAAGACCCCGGTACAGGGCCCCACAGGGCACTTCCCACGGCAGTTTATGGAGCGTGGTCTGAGGGTGAACAACAGAAAGGGGAAAAGCACATTGTGACCGCCTGAGGGGCTGCGAGCCTGGAGTGGGTTTATATGATTCTGATATTGCTGCAGCGCTGTTCTACACCTGTAATGCAGATCCCATTTTTGGGGTGTTTTTTGGCTGAAAGGCTTCACGATTGCATTTTAAAACTGCTGCCAGGCTGTTAGTGCACAACAAGCAAAAGGTTCGTCCCCATCCTGAACCTGCCCGCCTCTGTCCCCACAAGCGGAGCCTCCATGGAGCTCGGCTGACCTGGCCAGACAAGTCACAGTCTCCGTCCAGGG